CCCAAATCAGTACTTTAGAAACAGGAAGTGAAATAGAGGATATGAGGCATGGCTAGAATGGGTGATCTGTTTGGTATTTTGAGCAAAACACTTCATAGACATGTTTTTTATATATTTGTATATCTGAGACCGATGCTATTGCCTAAAAGTAGCATGATAGGTGACCTTTAACATATGAAAGAAATGGTAGTATAGTGTATTTAAAATGTCATGAGAAAAGTGAATAGTCTGTTTGGTGTTTGAGCACTTCAGGATCTCAGACCTGTGATATAGAGTTGATGAAGAGGAGAATGAACTTTAATTGACTGATGGATTTAATTACACATTTGCTGTTAACACACTCATGGTTTTAGCTACAGGGATATAGGGTTGGATTAATCTACACCCAAATAATCTTATTTTAAAAGTCTTCCCAAAGTATTGTGTGTCAGAATGTGAATGAATAAAGTACATTTGTTATCTTTTGTTAAAATATTGGTTTCAAAATCAATTAATTACACATCAGTAATTACGAAAGCTGCACCACAGACACATTTATTACATGTTGAATATTGGTGAGTTAGCACGGAGGTCTTCAACGTCAACACATCTAAAGACGCTCCTATATATATATGATATTTATGAAATGTAATGTTTAATATTTCCCGTGGACAGAGATGAGAACACACACTCACACTTTCAGGCTTTTATTGTGAAGGAGTGACAGCAGGCAGGGTGTGATCCTACAGGAGTCGGTTCAGTAGCAACAAGGAGACCAGTGGAGGAATAAATTAAAACCCAAAACTCCTCGGGTAATAAAAAAAAAAAAAACTCCACTCGAAAAAAATTCAGCTTCAAAATCAAAAACCAGAAAATATTCAAATAAAAACAAATTTAAAAAAGTCAGTTACAAAACTGGAGTGCGTTTATAGTTTTTGGTTTTGTTCCTTCCTCTCTGTGCTTCTGTGACACACACACACACACACACACACACACACACACACACACACACACACACACACACACACACACACACACACACACACACACACACACACACACACACACATATAGCCTTCAGTATTTACACACATATTTATAGATTCCGTCTCTGCTCTTGTTTTAAGAGTCTAAGCCCCGCCTCTTGCCGCCCAACCTCTCGGCCAATCAGCAGCTGCTGTTCTTGAACTCGCCGGTCTCAGTGATTGACAGCTTGGTGGGGTTGCTAGGCGACAGGCCGTTGTGGATGCTAGGTGTGTTGTAGCGCTCCTTCACCTGCGTCAGCGCCGCCATCAGACGGGAGTTCGCCGCGTCCAGGGAGTCGATTCGCCGCTCCTGATTGGACAGAAATGGGGAAAAAAAAGGGGGGGGGAGGGCGGGACAATAAGTTAGATTGACAGCTGTGGGATCCAGTGACTGTCGGGCCGAAAACACATCGCAGACTGAAAAAAGACGAATTTGATTATTAAAAAAAATATATAAGAATAATACAAATTAAACACATTCATTTTTTATCGAGACAACTTTAACTTTTGTTTTAAATTAGGTTCAGTTCGACGGAGAGGAAGGTTGAGATGTGTTTCCGAGCCAACATAATCAGAGAGTGGCAGCAGGAGATAAACAACAACAACAACAACAGCCCAAAAACTCAAAGAGAAAAAGTGAGAGTTAGGCTCAGAAAGTGAAACGGCATCTCTGCATCCACACGACTTCCTGGTTACAGAATCCATTAATACGAGTGGTTAGGGGGAGGGGCTTCAGCCAAACAGAAATCAAACAAATCAGAGCGCCGAGCACCAGAAACAGTCAATGTGAGAGTTTAACCTGGAGCTGCTTCAAAGACGTATTTCAGCATTATGAGTCCTGAAACCCTGACATGACATCACTTCCTGTCCCCTGGTCTGGAGGTCAATGGTTGTCTGAATGTGTTTTTGGTTGTTAGCTTGATATAAGGTCTGTGGTTAACACAAGCTGAAGAGATGTTTGTTCTACGACATACAATACGTCAGTAAAAACCCCACTGGGGAATTTAAAAACGGAGGTTGCTAACAAGTGTCTAAATGAGACGACTAAACGTCTACACGCCCAACGTTAGCCACCTTTAGCTTAGCGGTGGTGACGTGAAGTCATGTGACCGTGCTGTAGTTCCTTTATAGCCCAACATTAGCCTCCTTTAGCTTAGCGGTAGTGACGTAAAGTCATGTGACCGTGCTGTAGTTCCTTTATAGCCCAACATTAGCCACCTTTAGCTTAGCGGTGGTGACGTGAAGTCATGTGACCGTGCTGTAGTTCCTTTATAGCCCAACATTAGCCACCTTTAGCTTAGCGGTGGTGACGTGAAGTTCTAAAATGTGTTTTATTCACCTGTTGTTTACACTGCTTAAATTGTATCTGATATGATGCTAGGTAATAAAGGTATCTGCTCTGTGATTGGCTGCTCAGGTGTGGGCGCTCTGAAAACAGCGTGAGGGGGTGGGGAGGGGGGGGGCCGGGCTTCAGTCACTACTTGCCTGATTGGTTAATCTCACATCCATTACTGACCTGGAATCAGTGAAGAGACGATGAGAGAACAAGAACTAAAAACTATTTCCTGTACAGTTTCAGAAAACATTAAGTACACGGTTTCATGTCTCAGAGGATATGTCCTGTACCTGAGCGTCGATGATTTTCTGTTTTGCTTCGATCACCGCCTGCATCTCTGCATGGTCCCGCTTCAACTCTTCCTCCACCGCCATCAGTCTGAAAAAAATAATATATTTAGGAAACAAATATTCCCACACGGTTTTCACAACGTTTCAGAAAATGTTATAATAAATACAAAAACATTTTAGAATTGTTTTAATGTCATTTAATGGATATTTCATTACGACAGAATGTCCTGAAAATATTGCTAAAGGTTTTGGAAAATAAAGTTCCCAAATGTTCCAAAAAATAGAATCAAAATGTTCCTAAAATGTTCTTTACGAATTCTAATAAATGTCAAAAGCTCCCTAAATGTTTTCTTCTAAAAATAATTCCCTAAAATAGAGTTAAAATGTTCATCGAAGGACCTTCAAAAGCTCCATAAATGTGGTGAAGACTCATTCAAAGAAGTTGTCTTCAAAGTATCCCTAACATTTTCCATCACGTGGCCCGAAGTGTTATTCAAAACCTCTCAAACCTTCCCAAAGATACCATCCAATCGTTCTTACATTTTTAGTTTTGTTCTAATGGTAAAATGAGATCCAGAAATTAAAAAATGAATAAATATGAATAATAAAAAAGTTGAGCCTCTGATCAAACTATAATAACAAATAAATAAAAGTTAATATTTTATCCGATCAGGTCCGAAAATGTGAGTAAAGAATGCTGAAAACTCAGTTGTTAAATGTCTTATCAGATGTGTGTGTGAGTGTGTGTGTGAGAATGTGTGTGTGTGTGTGTGTGTGTGAGAGAGTGTGTGTGTGTGTGTGAGAGAGTGTGTGTGTGAGAGAGTGTGTGTGTGATAGTGTGTGCGTGTGTGTGTGAGAGAGTGTGTGTGTGAGAGAGTGTGTGTGTGAGAGTGTGTGTGTGTGAGTGTGTGTGTGTGTGTGTGTGTGTGTGTGTGTGTGTGTGTGTGTGTGTATGTGTGTATGAGAGAGTGTGTGTGTGTGTGTGTGTGTGTGTGTGTGTATGTGTGTGTGTGTGTTGTGTGTGTGTGTGTATGTATGTGTGTATGTGTGTATGTGTGTGTGTGTGTGTGTATGTGTGTGTGTGTGTGTGTGTGTGTGTGTGTGTGTGTGTATGGGGTGTGTGTGTGTGTGTGTGTGTGTGTGTGTGTGTGTGTGTGTGTGTGTGTGTGTGTGTGTGTGTGTGTGTGTGTGTGTGTGTGTGTGTGTGTGAGAGAGTGTGTGTGTGCGTGTGTGTGTGAGAGAGTGTGTGCGTGTGCGTATGTACGTGTGCGTGTGTATGTGTGAGAGAGAGAGAGAGAAAGTGTGTGTGTGAGAGTGAGCGTGTGCGCGTGCGTATGTATGTGTGTGTGTGTGTATGTATGTATGTATGTATGTATGTATGTATGTATGTATGTGTGTGTGTATGTGTGTGTGTGTGTGTGTGTGTGTGTGTGTGTGTGTGTGTGTGTGTGTGTGTGTGTGTGTGTGTGTGTGTGTGTGTGTGTGTGTGTGTGTGTGTGTGTGTCTTCAAAGTATCCCTAACAAGTGACTCTAAATGTAATTAAAACCCTCTCAAATGTTCCCAAAGAGACCGATCATCCAATCGTTCTTAAATTTTTCCTAAAATGTCGTGAGAGACTTTTGAAAAGGTCAAAACGTTTAGAGAACGTGGAAAACATCCCGACCTCAGGACGTTCGTCTCGCTCTGCCCTCAGGAGGAGTTTCAGAAGTTGTGTTTCCATTACTCTGCGTTATCAGTAGCATTTATCGGTGCGTTTGTTTCTCGTGCTGCAGCAGCCCAGACGGGTGGAGTCAGTCCTACCTGCAGACGATGCTCTTCATCTCGCTGTCCTTCTCCTCCTGCTGCCTCCTCAGCTTCTCCTCGCTGTCCTCCAGGCGCTGCTTGTACTCCTGCAGGAGCTTCTGCATCTGCTGCTCCTGAGCCAGCAGCCTGCGCTCGTACTCCTCCAGGCGGCGCCCCGAGCCCCGCAGGCGCTCCTTCAGACGAGAGATCTCCTGCTCGTACTGCAGGGAACGCTCAATTAGCCAAGGGTCTGCTACATGCAACACTCTGTGTTAGCCAAGGGTCTGCTACATGCAAGGTGACGTCGATAGGACCAAGTCTTTGCTTTGAAAAACATGCATGTGAATTTCAAATTTCTAGGTTTGCTATTTCAAAATCTGAATAAAAACCAAGACCAGGATGTTTTTTTTCTTCTAATGGTAAAACTAGATCCACAAATTCAAAAATAAATTAATAATAATAATAATAAAAAAGTTGAGCCTTGTATATATCTGATCAAATTATACTAAAAAATTAATAAAAGTTTCTATTTTATTCGATCAGATCCGAAAATTTGAGTAAAAAATGCTAAAAACTCGGCCGTTAAATGTCTTATCAGATATGAGTGTGTGTGTGTGTGTGGTACCTTCTCGGTGTTCTTGCCCTCCTCCCTGCTCTTCTTCCCCTCCTCCTCTTCCTCCTCTTCTTCTTCATATTGTCCGTTGTTCAGCACCCAGGCAGCCGTCCGCTCCACTGGAGACATCACCTCCACCGGAGACGCCTGGACATTCAATTCATTACATATCCTTTTTATAAATACAATTAAATCTGTGCCTCAGCCTGCTCCACAGTAGAGTGTCCTCAGTAGCATGTCATACATTAAAAAGCATTTCATTTTTTGTTGTTACCTCTTGTTGCTGCAGTACCTGCGGCGGCTGCTTGGCGGCGCTCCTCGGGGGCGGAGCTACGGTCTCCGGTTGCCGGGGGGCGTGTCCTGGCGTGAGGACGTGTCCTGTTGTGGGGGCGTGTCCTGTCTGGGGGGCGTGTCCTGTCTGGGGGGCGTGTCCTGTCGTGGGGGCGGGCTCTGTGTTGGGGCTGCTGCGTAGTGGTTGGCTGTGTGGGAGCGAGCGTGGCGTCCTGGCTCCGCCCCCTCCTCTGCTCTGCTCCACCTTCACAATATGGGCGGTGCCAGCTGTGGTGCTCTGACGGGGGATAGCGACGGCTAATGGGAGGTCAGGGGGCTGAGGAGGGACGTGTCTTCTCGGCGTTGAACCCCCGCCCCTCGACCCCGATTCGTCCAGGCTGCTGCTGTTCGAGGGGGCGCGACCTTTGACCCCCGCCTGGCTGCCCAGGTCGTCCGAGGTGCGGCTGTTGTGAGAACTCTCCGTGCTGAGGTTCTCTGAGCTGGAGTCCTGGAGCTGAGAGTGGGCGGAGCGAGAGGACAGGCTGTGGGCGGGGCCACTCAGAATGTGGGCGGGGCTAATCAGGACGTGGGAGGGGCCACTCAGACTGTGGGCGGGGTTAATAGGGTTACCCAGGATGTGGGCGTGGTTACTCTGGTTATTCATATTGTGGGCGGGGCTACTCATGTTGTGGGCAGGGTTACTTTGATTACTCATATTGTGGGCGGGACTATTCAGACTGTGGGCGGGATTAATAGGGTTACCCAGAATATGGGCGAGGTTACTTGTGTTTTGGGCGGGGCTACTCATGTTGTGAGCAGGGTTACAAAGAACATAGGCGGGGTTAATAGGGTTACCCAGAATGTGGGCGGCGTTACTTGTGTTGTGGGCAGGATTACAAACAATGTGGGCGGGGCTAACCAGACTGTGGGCGGGGCTACTCAGACTGTGGGCGGGGCTACTCAGGTTGCCCTGGTTGCCCGGGTTACTGAGGTGGTACACGGGGTTCTGGAAGCTGATTGGCTGCAGGCTACGCGGCTGATGACGGTTGATTGACGGGTGAAACGGCCTCCTGGCCTGCGGCGCGCTCTGCGGCTGAGCCTCTCTGGGCGGGGCTTTAATCGGGGGGTGAGCGAGGAGGGGGGCGTGTCCTATGGAGGCCTGCGAGCCCCCCCCCCTGCTGAGGCGATTTGGGGGGGGGTCCAGGTCCTGCAGGTCCACCAGGGAGATGCTGCGTCCGCCCGGCAACAGAAGAAGATCTCCATCCTCTGGGTCTGAGAAACTGCTGCTTTGGGGGGGGCGACCCTCCATCAGATCAGAGACAGTCTGCTGCAGGGCGGGGGGGTCCCTTCGACTGCAGGAAGAGAAGAGAGGGAGGTCGGAGGTTAACCTATCTGTAGTTTAAGGTTTCCTATTATACTATTTGTAGGCATATATTATAGTTCTTAGATATAAAAACATGTCTCTGAAGTGTTTTGCTCAAAATACCAAACAGATCATTCTAGGGCTGACATGAGAGTAACATGCTAACAAAGGTATCAACTGTAGCTGTGAACATGACAGGATGTGTGATTACCTAGAAGAGCATCAGGACTGTTTGAGGCATATGATAGCTATGTGATTAACATGATGATTCAGCCTCTATGGAGAGAGACATATGACAAGCATGATCATTTCTGACGTGGAGCTAATCTGAAGTAAACATTGAATACTGCTTTCTATTCCTCCATCTTGTGACTGTGGAACTCCCTCTCTTGGATATCAGCATGTGAAGGACACTGTTCAGGAACTAGTTGATGCTCTGTATGTGATGACTACTTCCATTCTGGAGAGGATCACAGATACATGGATCCTGAGATTCAAGATCAAGCCGGGGACCAGGGAGAGTTAACATTTTTGAGATTTTGAGAAAAAGTAATAATTTTGAGATTTTGAGAAAAAAATCTGTATTTTGAAAAAAAAAAAATCTGTGTTTTGAGGAAAAATCTGTGTTTTGAGAAAAAAAAACCTGTATTTTGAGAGAAAGTCAGGATTTTGAGATTTTGACAAAAAAATCAGTATTTTCAGAGAAAGTCAGAATTTTGAGATTTTGAGAAAAAGTCAGAATTTTGAGATTTTTAGAAAAAGTCAGAATTTTGAGAAAAAGTCAGTATTTTAAGA